GGGGGGTTTGCTTGGGTTTTTGCAGTAATTGCTCTTTTAACAGTTGTTCTTAACAGCTTTGCATACTGATATCTGTGGTATTGTTTGACACGTATACGCAAACATAAACACACACTACACACAGCATTTTGCTTACCACCATCTTGTTGAGGGAGACCCAGCAGTCTGACGGGAAGTCCTGCAGCATGGGGACGAGGAACTGGAGACAGCCATCCCAGTGACACAGCAGCAGCATCATACCAATCAGGTTGAAAATCCGCATCACAGCACTGGCCAGGTCATAGGTCATGTGGAAGATCTGACAGCAGCAGAGGAGACGGGCAGACAGAGGGTCATCAAAGTGGAGAGGAGGGAAAAAGACAGAAATAGATGTGTGAGCGGAATAAAATTTATTTTTTTACAGATAGAGGTAAAAACTTTGGAATCACAAAAAGTACATCCAGCATGTATTACTGCTGAGGAGAGAATCGCATGTTCGGTGAGCATGTTTTTAATTGTAAAGTAATTATGTAATAATAATAATAATATAACAATAATAAAATTCGATTTTTAAAGCACCTTTCATTGCTAACAGCAATCCCAAGGTGCTACAGGAGGCATAATAAAAACAAATTATAAACATCATGTGGGGTTGTGTTTCAGGACAACTGGATAATCTAATTGCAACATTCACCTTCTCTGTTTAAGCCATGTTTTGTTGCTCTATGGCAGGGGTGTCAAACTCAAGGCCCGGGGGCCACATCCGGCCTGCGACTTCATTTTATGTGGCCCCACAAGAGCGTGCAAAGAATATAATATATTTATTATACAGTTACATGCTACTTTACAGAAGCACGTTGCCCATAAACTACATGTCCCACAATGCATCTCAAATTAGACTTTTTTTTCAAAATATGCATCTTTTCTTAGAATTCCCTTTTCTCAGAATTAGATTTTTTTTATTTTTGTTACTTTTTATTTCAAAATATTTTTTCTCCAGAACTTGGCATTTCTTTTAAAATCATTTTGTAACATTCTCACTGAATAGACTTGCAATTATTTGCCCTAGACTTCTGCTTTCAGATGTAGTTAATTATGAAGTTATTAACCTATCCGATAATCATCCAATGCAGAGAAAATAATGTAATATAATACATTATTTTTTATATATGATATATTTATATATGTATTTTTATATAGTCTTAAAGTTACAACCGGCCCTTTGAGTGCAACCATAATGCTGATTTGGCCCGCGATGAAATTGAGTTTGACACCCCTGCTCTATGGTGATGGGCATGTGGTGAGTTTTTCACAAAAACACCTTTCTGCTATATCTGGAAATGACACTGATGACAGTGGTGAGAATAATCTAAAACTGTAGTGTTATGGAACAGAAAATAAAGTATAAAATGCTGATAGACGCTGAAGGGAACTGCTTAGTCGGTTGGAAATCATTTTTGAGTTTAGCAAAATAAGCCACCTATTGATGATGAAGATGATAATGAATGTAGTTTGTTTTTTTGTAGTCAAATCAAGTCTGAATTGTTCACAATTGCTGAAGTTGCAACTCCAACAGGAGAGACAGTATATTCTAAATTAAGACAAGAAACAAAAATACATACATAATACATCAAATTGAAAACAATGTATTCACCATTACAATAACAGTATTGATTAGTGCGGATAATTAAAACCACAGCTAGGCAAAGAGCAGCGTGAGAGCTATACGTTTAAATAGAAAGTGTTGAAAACTAGTTGGGTTTCCAATTCATGTACACTATATATACTTCAAATAGTGAAATACACTTAAATAGTTAAAACAGGATATGATGATGTCAATAATAATGAGTAACAAAGGAATGACAATGTCATTCCTCATCAATCTTAGAAGAATAATAGTGTCCGTTTGGGGGTTTACAAATTTAAAGCGGTCGGGGGAAATGAACAAGAGTTTGTGTTATGAATGAAGACATTGATAAAGCTTTGATCAGCCGCCCGGTCGGCCTCTCTCTGCTGTTTCTCAGATTTACTCCCCTCAGGTATGGAGGCTCATCTGTGTGGAGCTGGTGTTGTGGTCACAGCCTTGTAAACACCACTCATTGCGGCTCCTGCTGGCTGTTGGCCAGGCCGATACCACCATGTGAGCAGAGAGTAGGTTAACTCCAATGCACTTGTTGAATCATAAGCTAAAGTTTGTTTCTCGGTAGGGAAAGAGTTTGATCTTAGAGGGCATGTAGGCCAGATGGTGGATGTATTTCATATATCATATATAATACACTGGAAGGTCCTGCTGTATGGGCCTGGTTTGATTATTTCTTATATCAAAAACAAAGTCTCACTTGAAACTAGAGAGCTGTCCTACATGTGAACTAGGCCATACACTGTGTGTGAGGGTCCTCTGTTTTAAATGTACAATTTGATTGAAGCCGACTGGTCTAACATATTTCTCCGTCCACACAGACCGACCCACATTTTAAACTCGATGCACTGATGTCCATGATTCTTGCTCACACTCCTTCTCTAATGATGTGCCTTTGCCAAATAATTTTTCTGTGCAATTTACATGAAAAGTGCTTTAAATGCTCTTGAAAATTGTATCTTAGCTGTCTTAACAAAGAACATCTAGAATATCGTATATTCAACATCAAGGTGTCTCTGCTTGGTAAAGGATGGTACATCATTATTCAAAATTGAATCAAACATATTTTGAGTTGTTTAGGTTTCTCCTCCCCCTTGCACATTGCAGATACTGACACTTTTTCCTCGCATAATGGACAATGGACGTAGCTAATTTGGAGAGGGAGAACGCGAATCACACTGTGAGGCCTTGCCCTGTGATTAGGAAGCATTCCCATCATGATTAATGAGGCTCGAGGACTAATGTCCCCCCCCCCCGACACCTGAACAGCACCTGGCCATGTGTCACTGTCAGACCACAATCTGGGTCAGAGCACATTACTGTGACCACTACTCACAGTCTGAGAAACACAGATAAAGAACTGTCTACTCCTGTCTGATGCACATCATCAATGTGCCAGGTGATCCTGGCGATTAAAATGACAACGTTTAAAGATAAATATTGAATCTGATGAATATAACTCTCACTGCCAATCTCTGCTCCCAAGCATACAAACCTGCTTCCAACCATTCAGCATTATTGTCGGGCTCATGAAAAAGGCATCCTCTCTAACGCATGCCAGCAAGTGGAGAGCTTCGATATCAGCTTCCTGTGTCAGGAAATTGCTCTTGTTACTTCCCGACAACGCTTATCTCTGCCTCTCTGTTGGCTGTACAATAAGCACAAACACCAGTCAACTCAAACATCACGTCTAAAAAGTACACAACATGCTCGTTCTTTTTTTAATTATGAGCACAGTTGGACACTCGGTCGGCCCACTGGAGCTGAGCTAAACGGTGAAATTATAATTTATTACACATGATCTTTGAGGAAACCCCGATCTGAGCCGAGCTGAGCTGAGAGGAAACACTGCCAGCCACGTTCGTATCAAGCTGAGCAGAGCCCGGCTGGAATAAGCGGATCAGAGCAGGGCTGAGTCGAAGAAAATCAGCGCTCATTGTGAATGTTTGATTCAGTAATAAGGGTTCTCCTGGAGGTCAAATTATCACTCTGTAATCAGAAGAGCAGTGGTTATTTTCAGCGCGAGGGCACACAATCCTATTCAGGGATGCTTGGTCAGTCCAAATAGGGATCCTCAGTTTATATACACAAGCACCTAGAAGGCCATGGTAGATTGTGTTTATTTAAATAGGTATACAATGCATTCCCTGATATATGATGAGATCCATCATCATATATAGCGTCGCAGCCATTATATGAGGGTCAGTGGCGGCCAGCCCATAGGGGGCGTTAGGGGCGCCGCCCCCCCTCTTCCCACATTAAAAATAAAAATAATTTAAAAAAATATATTTAACAAATATATATATTTTTTTTTTTAATAAACAAGGTAAATATTATATATTTGGTATCAGTAAAATGTATAATCTACAATAAAATCTCGTTTAAAATTGTGTTACGATGTCTAAAGTTACTGATAAGTCACATGTTTCCTGCCTGGCCTTGCCCGTGTATCATTACCCTCTCTCGTCTGGGCGCTATGCACAGCGCCCAGACCGAGAGTCCAGGAACAAGTGCAGGCAGAAGCCAACTGTTGGCTATCTTTAAACTATGCCGCCGAAAACATAATTTCTGCCAATCAGCGTTCGTCAAATCTGATGGTCACCAGGGGCGCCTACGTCAGCCGCCCGGTGCAGGCTGTTGAGTTGTTGGACTCGTATCCAAGGAGACAAAACAATTAAATAAAAGAATATTTATGGATTATCAATAATTTTTTTCAAAGTGACCAGACACATTGGATTAACCGCTATGGATTAACCTTCAGCCGCGTTTCTCGTTTTTGATCAGAATACCAGCAAAAAGGTGAGCATATCTCAGTGTTTTTGCTACCTAAAGCTACGTCGTGCGATGTCTGTATTTGCTTCCCCTGTCGCGAGTTCTGATTGCTCAGTGATTATACCTTATATTCTGGAATCTGTGGAATCTCATCTTGTTAGCTAAGCTTGTTTGTGCATATCCGAGATAAGTATAATCGGATTGATTATACCTAGAGTGCGTAGCATTTTTTTCGGCTCAGGGCTCATTTAGACGCTTCTTGTGAGACTTGTGTCTTTTGTTTCGGTAAACATGGTTCATATCATCCGTTACCTGAGTTTCTTCCCGTTAAATGAATTAGTGACACATGAATAGTCTATTACATTTTTAAGAAGCCTCTGATTGAGAGTTGGACAAGTCCCCCCCACCATTTTAAAATGATTAGTTTTAGACCACTTTTCTATTGTGGAAAGTCCGCGTTGAAATCGGTCTATCCACTCGCCACTGTTTGTAGAGCGCTGTGTCAGTTGCTTCACTTATCAAATCCATTTCACTGCTTATTGTGAGAATGCCCAAATCAATGAAACTCCGTACCATGTTTTCACTGCTACTTTGGTAACAAGCAGATTCTCAGAGCCGTACACACATGAGCTGTAACATGGCTGCGTTTTTTGGTGTAGCTGTGTCTTTTAGTCGAAAATTATGCCCGCCACAGTTTCCACGCTGCGAGCTCCGTGCAAAACAGTTCACGAAGCGTGCTCCACTAGCACCCGGATTTGTGGTGTATGTTGTGTGTGTTTAGCCAATATGAGTGAAGGACTTACGGGCACCGTCAGTGACGTCATAGGAAGACGACATGTTAGGGGTAACGGGGCATGGGACTAGGTGTGTTCTAGCATGTGAGCTACCAATAAAGAGACACGTAATTG